CACAATTTTCTTTCTTTTACATTCACATGAAAAAGGTCAGCGCAATGAAGATGTACATGCACGAATATGTGAATGTGAAAATTGCATCTCTTGTCTTTAAGCTTTGTATAGTTGAATTCCCGATCTGCCAGAGGATCGTGCACATGAGAAATATGCGCTAGCAATGACAGGATTGAAATTAATTTTATTCATTGGGAGTTGAATGTACCATTGGAATCGGAAATGTGGTTAAGGGGGTATGTTGTTCTCTTAGATGGGAATTTATCTTGTTGTACTTTTATCGCTCCTTTTATCACCTAAGATGTCATGTATATTTGGCTTTCTTATTGCCTCATGTATGCAGATTCGAAATAATCAAATCAATACTGTCCGTATCAACAGCTTAAAAGGGCAGGCCTGCAGATTATGTCTGAACCCTTAGTTCATCTCACTTAACTCATTTTAAATTTCAGAGTTGTAGGCCAGCAGACAAAAGCTCGAAGTTGACTCGAGATTTTCATCGATTTTGTATGGCTGAGTCGACTCTGAGTCCACTCGACTCCGTACAAAATTTCATCGATTTCGAACTCTACTGCAGACTGTGTTTATAACAATAAAGAAGTAAGTGGTCTAAAAATCAAGTTTTTTTGATGAACCTCATTTATGGACAGCCCCAAATGAGTTAAAAGATTCCAAACATGAGGCCGTTTTCAAAGGCTTTCACAGGTTATTTTTCTCTAATTGATTGCGTCAAGAAAATGAAACTGATGCGTTAATCTGAAAATTCCAACCCTCAGAAACGTCATTTATGCATATCCCCAGATTATAAATACAATATCGCTCGTTAATCCAGAAAAAAAGAAATGAGAATAATTCACATGCATAATTGTGCATAGTTCATGCACTTCAAGACTAGTAACGGAATGGATAATATCTGTTGGATAAATATCATGAAATTCCCATAAGATTCAAGCATCATTGAAGGGAATGGAAGAGATGTGAAAATATGAGAAATAATTTAAATCCGCACATAATGCTGAAAGTACACAGAAGACGAAACACAATCCATTGTTGGAATTTAATTGTAATTTCTTTTTAATAACACTTGTTTTTGTGCCTGAGATAAGATACATTCAGAAATGTAACAATAACAATTTCTTTTTTTTTTCTCTCTCATTTATTAGTAGCTGCTATGCTGCTGCTGCTGTTCATTTGTTTTGAAATATGTTTGTATGTAAAATTTTTCCTCATTCTCTTGTGCCTTTTTTTGTTACATTTCTTCTATGTACTGTACATTTTTATTTGATCATAAATACACAATATAGTTTGAATAGTAGCAACCTATAAAATCTGGTATTTTTTCCTGTCTCTGCTTATTGCATGCCATATTTTAATATAATGTTCTGTACATTTCATAATCCAATATTTGTTAACATTAATAGCTGATTAATGGCACACAGATAAACAGTGCCATTGTAAATTTTAAGACCAAATTTGTGCTATGATCGAGGTGATTTAATGATTGTTGTCAGATAAAAAGGGGAGGAAATGAGATCAGGGATTTGTTTTTGAACTTATATGGTATTAACAACTTAAAGCTGGAGTTGAATTAAGAATTGTAAATTTGTGGTTTAATTTATCCAACTTACTAGCTAATTGATGGGGTTCGAATATTCGCTCGAGATTGTAATTTGGATTTTAATTTTTTTAAAAAAATATTTTAAAAGTATGTGTTATAATTTATATGAACTTACTTACTTACTTCTCTCGCCGTACAGATCAATTGTGATCCATGGCCTCGCTTAGATGACGCCTCAAGCTGGCTCTATCGCTTGCCAATTACCAATACAAAGTGTAATACTGTCTCTGTCAAAAGCTTCTCTCCAAGAGTTCTTGGGACATCAACAATTTATATGGACATAAAAAAATATGTCGTTCGCATTTTAAGGGGGCAGAAGCATAGCCAAGAGGGTCTTGACCGTTTCCAAAAGTTTAGGGGGTGTCTCCAGACCCTTCTGGCAATACTCATGGGATGAAGAGGGAGAATTTTGTGACGAAGGGATCAAAAAAGTCTTTTATTTGCATAACGCAATAAGTGAACTAGCCCTTGAAAGGATAAGGACTTCCAGAAATCTGAAAAAAAATATAAAAATAAAAATATTTTTGAGTGCCAATCCTTTGATTTTACTATCGGTGACAAAAAGCATTGTTATGTCATTGCTCAAACCTCCAGAATAATTTCTAACTACTCAACTACTAACCTCAACAGTCAATTGGCAGTCAATAGAACAAAACAAATTCTTTGAGAATTTCCGAAGCAAATTAAGTGCAATTAAGCGTTCATCCTCTTCAATTGTGAGACACGAGAAACGTCATACTTAGTCTATCGATGGACAATACCCTTTGGAGAAGAACCTTCAAGGCTATGACATTTAAAGATATATTTTGCACAATTTATTTTTGAATTAATTCCAGATTTTAAAGCCTAGATTGAATGTCAATTTTTTCTGGAAGATAAAGGTCAGAATTAGCATAAGTGTTGTTTTTAAAGACAAAGATGTATTATTGAATTTAGATAGCCATCTCGAGTGGTGATGACTGACAAATTGATGGATAGGACAGCCCTTTAAAAACAATCAAGTCTTCTATTTGACTGTTGTGTAGTTAAAGCTATCATTTCTTTGCTAATAAGGAGCTAAAGCCGGATTTTAATTCTATTTATTTCTGCAGCCCTAGACATATTTACTACTTACTTACTTCGCTGGCCGTACAGATAAATTGTGATCCATAGCCTCCTTTAGTTTTCGCCTGAAGCTGGTTCTATCGCTGGCTACCGTTTGCCAATTGCCAATACCAAATGATAGATATACTTAAATTCAATAATTTTCAAGCAGTATAATAAATGGGGTGCACAGAGATTGACAAGAACTAGCTTTGTTCGCGGTTTCTTCTTCTTCTAGTTCTAGATGACAATAAAATTTCGTATCCAATATAAAAACCATCCAAGATCTAATCAAAAAACATAAAAAAACTCACAACATTTTTAATTACAAAAATTTATATTCTCAAATATTAATATCCATCAATATAAATTTCAAAACATTCTCAAATTCCATTCTGCCTAGAAAAAAAATATTAAGTCCATAAAATCCAGTCGAAATTCACTGAACCAGAAAATAAGTAAACTTTTCACATTTATTCTCCCAAATGAAAAGCTTATTCAAATATAAAAGATTTTAATATTTCATTTCTATTTTATGCATGCAAAAGACTTGAACGACCGATGAAAGAATAAACATCACAGAAATGGTCATGAACAATCTCAAATATAATAAAAATTTTAATATGAAATTAAATTTCCATTTTTCCGTTCATTTAAATGAAACATAATTTTATTTTCTTAAGCAGCATATGATGATAGCTGCATAGCAAGAAAAAAATGATTCTCAGTGAAATTTTTCAAATACTGCAAAACATCATTTGTGCATCGCTTTTGTAAACCGGTTTTGTGTGTAAGTTTTTGAGCTCATTCTGATCATTTTTTGCACCGCTGAGACACAACCGATGAGAACGCTAAATTATAATATTTTTTTTTTCAATTCTGATGATGCCAAAGAATGTGCATGTGCTAGATGCTACACATTAAAATGCATTTTAAAAAATCATTGTTCACGTTCATGGAAATTGTATGAATAGAAAATTATTATCAATCTACGATTCGCGAATTGGGTTACAATTCATGCCTACATTCAATTTGTTGTTATATAAAAAAAAGATATATAGGATAGATGTGGTCAGCTTGTGAGATTTTAAAGCGCATACAAAAATATTTCATTCAAAAAAAAAATTTAAATTTTTTCAAAGGATCTTTTGTTTCCCAGGACCCTCTTGCACCTCTCATCTAGCTTTTCTTGAGACTCAAACTTCAGTATATTATTAAATTTTAGATCCATAGCTTAAAGTTGAGCAGTTGAGCTAGCTGGACTTAAATTGTCATCCAAAAAGTTTAATCAAGTTAATTTTAAGACAAATTAAAATCAATTAAACTCAGAGTTTATTTGAATCGACTCTGATTAAGTTCGGAAAAAAAGAATTAAATTTGACTTCAAGCTTCAAAAATGATCAGAAATGATCAAAAATTGTCAAAAAAATGATCAAAAATTATCAAAATTGATCAAAAATGATCAAAAACGATCAAAATGTAATTCTTCAGTTCCACAACCTTGGCCACGATTCCTTAATCACATTAATCACTTACATTTAAGAAAGAGGTGTCTAATACTCCATTTAGAGGATATAAAGCATTTTTGGGTTAACACCCCTCTTTGCCTAAAACATAGCTTGTCACCATCAAAGTCAAATGTAAACAAATTCTCAGAATCTGGTGAACTGGGAATCCTGAAGATTGGCCATCAAATGAAAAACGAGACCTTCCGAACAAGACATCAACAAGGAGAATTTGTGGCTACGCACTAAAAAGGGTCCTCAAAGGTCATAAAATAAGATTTTTGTATATTCGCTCGTTCTAGTTACCCTACAGCACGAGATGAATCAAAATCAAAAATTTTAGTTCCAAACTACATTGCTAAAAATCAAACTGAATGAAAACTTAAGCAGCAAGTCAAGACATGGACACAAATTTTTTTTCATCTGATTTTATGCGAAACAAAAGAATCTTTTATCTGGTTTCATCAAGAAAAAAAAGTTTTTTCATTCGGTGTCTATGCCTTGCAGCAAGTAGAAAGATAAACAATAAGAAAGTTGGACATGCAGACAAAATTTAAGCAATATTGTTATTGCTCCCAATAAAAAGCTTTAATATATGCTGAGATTCTAATTCAGCACAACATCATACAAAAGTATAGAGAGCAAAAAAAATCATGAAGATCACTAACACAAACACCAACAGCCAACAATGACGTCACTGTTAAATGTCCATTCTCTATATCTACTACATCAGCAAGTTCGCGAGAGGCTTTTTTTTTTATTTCATGTTGTTCATGCTGAGCTTCGCGAGTTGAGTTTAGTAGAGTTTTGATATTTGTGTAGTAAAGACGTGAAACGCTATTCCATCTTGCGCGTTGCTTATTTAGTCAATAGTACGCTCTTAAGTATAGGTGGAAAGAGAGAAAAAAAAGAAGAAATAATAATAAGATATAGACACTATCTGCCTGTTAGTATATATTTTTTTTAATATTGAGGTTTTTTTATTACACAACGACAAACGAACGTGCATTTTTTTTTTATTTTGGTTGTTGAAAGAAGAGAGGAAAAAAAAATAAAAGGTTATTGTGGAATTGAAAAGAAAGAGTTTCTTTAAAAAAGAATTATGTAATAAAAGTTATCTTTCATGTGCTTAAAAGAGAGAGAAAATAATAATATGAATTGCTAAATTATGAGGCAATAATTTACGAATTTTATTGAATAAAAGTGTTATTTTATTATTTTGCATCTGTCAATAATTTAACCAATTTCAATTTATTTCTAGTTATTTAGACAAAAGGAAATTTAGAAAGAATAAACTTTAAATTGTGAAAAATAAGATTGAATAACAATAAAAAAAAAACCAGAATTAATGGAATAAGTTGCCAATATCTTGAGAGAATAGAAGCAAGTTTTATAGAAAATCAGATTCAGACTTGACGGTAAGAAAAATTATTGTTTTTTTCATGTTTCATATATTTTATTCATAAAGTCGACTTGTTGCTATACGATTGCAAGTAATAATGAATTGGATAATTTAGAATGACCTTAGCGCATGTGATTCATTGGTTCTGGAAAGTTGCGTTCATTAAATTGAGGCATTTTAATTTTTTCTTGATTGTAATTTTTTGATGTTGAATTTTATTTAACTGTTTAATGACTTAAAAGGGTTCGAAATGACAACTCTATCTTAGAAAATTTAATAAGTATGGCTATAAAGCAATTAAAGTTGGATCTAATGAGGTACAGACCCTCACTGTCATTTTTTTTTACTCAACTGAAGGATTTTTGACTAAACTTATTCAAAATTTCAATCAGTGCACCTATTACTGATGTAAAGACTAGGGGTCGAACTTATATTGAAATTAACCTATACTGAATCCCTAGGGATCCTCTAGCGGGTCAAGACCACTTTTCATCACACCTAGCTAAAGCCATGATCTCTCTAGAGTCCCTTAATAGAGCATATTTGAAATAACCGATTTATTGAAGACTGTCACATTTGGTTAGACTCTAAAGTTTAAATATTTATCCAAAACAACAAAGTTTAAACTAAAACTTAAGAATTTTGAGTTTAACATCCTTAAATGCAACTGAATGCGAAATCAAAAATCATTTAAATTTATTAGCAATCCCAAAAATTCTATCTCAACAAAAATTTCCATCTTCATAACTCCCATGCAATTTTTGAAACAATTTTTGATGATCTACCATAACATGCATCAACTTAACATTCCCTACACATTTTATTATGCAAATCTTATTTTACCTACACTCTTGCAATACAAATCTTTTTAATATCGACAAAATGAGTCAAATGCAATTTATTTTCAAGGAAAATTCGTTCCACGAACATACTTGCAAACATACATCAATTATACCTGAATATCTACAATATTACATCTCAGCTCAGACACAAAAAAATGGCAAATAAATCTGCAAATAATAAAATACTTTAAATTGTAAGCTTATTGCCGCGAGTATTTGCAGATTAATAAATGTACGATTTCATAACATAGAGACACGTGCAGTCTACAGCTTATTCGCTCCTTAAGCAGTAGTCTCGACCACTGTTTGATTAATTCATAGATTTAATGCTACAAAAGCATTCGCATTTCCAATAAATTATAAACTTCTTTCTCTTTTTCCTACTCAATCAATTTCCATACACAATTTTTCATATATTTTTAACAAGTTTAACGACCCAGAATTTGAAAACCCATTTTTTATCTTCAGTGTTAAATTTATAATTTTTTGTGGTCAGCAACAGCCTATAAGTAATGGTCATTGATTCACATAATGTGATTGATTCACCGTGAAGTTGTAAATTTTATTTCACGATTTAATTGAATTTTATTTTGAATGTGAATTATTAATTAATTATTGCGGGAAATAAAAAACTGTAATGAAGTTGCTCAGTTGAGGAATGGTTTAGTACTTTGGTACCTAGTTATTGCAATACACAGCGATCATGGGTTCGAGACTGGATATCGGAAATTTTTCACTAGTCTTTTTCGAATCATTTGTTTAGAGTGGTTCAGATCCCAGTTTTAACTGTGAAGGTCTAGGTTTGAGAGGGAGTTCTGACGCATCCTCACTCGCATAAGGTCTGAATACTAAGGATCGTTTACTTATGACATCCGAAATTAACGGTCATTTTTCAAAAAAGAATTCCTATTGTTCTTTCCTTTCTGACCCCCCCCCCCCCCCCCTTCCCCCCATTGACGTCATAAGTGGAAGGGGAATTGCTGAAATGAAAGGAAATCCAGAGCTAATTTGCAGACTTTCTCAAAAACAAACAAATCACAAATTTTGTTAATTAACCAAAAATCATACAAATCATTTCTACCAAGAACAGTCATTTCTACCCTAGCCAAGTTTAAATGAATGATTCAACAAATTGTAAAAATTTACGCAAAATGATGTTATAAGCAACGTGTTAATTAAATATAATAGTTCATTAAGATGTTAGAACTTGTGAATTTACTATCGTAGAAGAATTTCTTGATGTTTTTAAGGCACACACATAAAAAATAAAAACTAGGGAAAAAAGCCACAAAAGAATTTTTCATAAATTCCATTTAAACACGTTACAATAAAATTATAATAATTTCACATAATGTTATAGTGGTACAAAATATACAGAGTAGTAATTGTGAATTGCTGGTCATGCAACAGATGAACGGTTGAGTGAGTTTGAGGCATAAAATCATTTTTATTTTTTTGGTTGTATGTGCACAATATAATAAAATATAAAAGAGTGTTGAATGGAAGAGAAAATTATCATAAATTTTTTTTAATGCCATAGCTGGCATGAAGGTTCTTCATAGATTATTTTAATTATATCAATTACTGTCCATATCTCTAGAAATACATTTATGCACTATTTTTTCTCTCTCATTTTTTGATGAGTCGCTTTTGGCTAGTTCCTCTTTGAAAATAGGTGCGATAATAATGCCTCTTGTAACGGATGCAATCTGTTTTTCATATGGAAATAATCTATTTATCTAATTAGTTTTTAACAGACCAAACAGAGCAATGTTTATGATGTACGACTATTTTTCTATGATTACATTTACCGATACACAAAAGTGCGTATTTACTGGTATTTTACAATGATTTAATGAACTCGGACCGTGGTAATGATTTACGTTCTCATTATCATTAGATTGGAGGGGGAAAGGGGGGGGGGGCTGTGTGTGTGTGGTTTATTTTAGTAGCTACTGTTCTGATAGAAACAGTACTGAGTTCTTTTTTAATGACAGTATTCTACACAAGGGTGGAACCAGTGGTGTCAAAATCCCTACCCCTTCCCCCCCTCCTCCAATTTGCTAATAAAAATACAAACCCCTCCGAAAAAAAATCCCGGCTAGTCTAATTAATGCGAACCCCCAAGCCGATAAGAAAAAGTCGGTTTTACTTCAACCAAACCGGTCAATTTACTAAGTTTTATCATTATCAGCTAATCAGCCAGCCAACCAGTCAACTACCCATCCCATTATTCAATAATACAGCCTATATTGTACATCACAGTCATACTCAACTCACCAATCCCCTAGTTTCTCATTAAACCATAAAAAGCATTTCTCATCCAATCTTCCCGAAAATAGTGCCATCCAAAAAAAGAAGATCCATTGTTCCGCCAAATTTCTTGCTATTTAAAATTCTAATGAACAACAAAAATCTCAAAATGAGTCACAACTTCCACGCGCACACATGTTTCTTGTCTGCGCTACGTGAGTCACATTCAAATATCCAATAATCTAAAATGAATAATGAACAGAATTCCAAGAAGAGAATTAAGTACGTTTACTTATGTCTAGTTTTGTAAAATTTCAGGAAATTTAATGGAAATTTATTTAATTAAGTGTGATTATTGAGGAACAGTCTGTAAAGTATCATTGAATGAATGTCATATGCCATAAATAATTTTCAATCAATGTGAATTGGAATGGCTTTTAAAGAGTATATAGGAAGAAAAATGGTAATATTGTTTTAAAGATTTAGCGATCTGAGGAGCAGGGGTTGATCATAAATGATGTTAAGTATTTTGTAGAGAGGCTGGGTTTGACATGAATAGTGGGAGAATTGGTCTTGAGCCTATGGTTACATTTACAAAATGATTAAAGACCCAAGTGGTCGTTCTTTTATGACGTCCGTCAAAAAAAATGATTTTTAGACCCCCTCACCCCCCCCCCCTTTGGTCACAAAATTTAAATGAAAAAACAAATATTATGTTTGAGCTGTCAACCCCCCTCCCTCTTAAATGTCGGACGTCATAAGTGAACGACAACTTATAGAAAAGAGGTAGAGGAGTAGAGGCGAGGGGTAAGGGGGTCTTAAACTATGTGCAACCAAGGAGCATGTTTTATTTGTATTTTACGTTCCTTGTCAATAATCTTAAAATAGGCGTCAAAAAAAATTATTTTCCATTACACGTCATTTACGAATGTCACCAAAATTTTTTTTTTTTTTGCATCTTAATATTAACACATTGTCGCCCGCACAATAAATGAATATTTTTCAACAGACATATTTAAATACGAATTGATTTCCTAATTATTGCATAACATTTAACAATACTTCATAAAAATTATCACATGAATTTGACGATTTCATGTATTTAAATAAGATAATTAGTTGTCTATGACGAGAATTTTTATAGCTTCCTATCAGAATTAAATTAAACTATAATTAAAAAATTCTGGAATGATTTGTCATAAATATTTCCACATCTTTTATGAAATGCTCGGTAATAATTGCTTTTAATCGTCAATTCAACTCAGCAAATATGGCATGTCTGCCATCTTTATTACGTTAGATCTGCTCGAAAAGAAAAACAAGTTCTGCTTTATTGTTTGACATTTTTATATATTTGATCAGAGATATATCTCTCTTACCAATATTTGCCATAAGAATGTAAGCTTAATGTATAGATGAAGAAAATCAGATAGGAAATTTACATAATTTTTTATTTCTTGTGTGTGTTTGATGTTTTGCATTTTGTGGACGTCAAATATTGTTAACGGAAATTCTGAGAATTTTTTGTGATGCTAGCAGTTGAATGAAGTTCTAAATATATCGATATGATGTTATTGCGAGCAATTTATCAGTTAAAAATGAAAAATTTGTGCCATGGTAATTAATTCATGGTAGAATAATTTTTAAAGCTCCTCTTTAAGCTGCAGGGCCTCATTCTGAGCTTCAGATGCCCCTTGTGAGCTGCATAACACCTAGGCTTATCCTCAGAGCTCTATTGGCCTATTTGACTAAATCCAAACCGCTTCTTGAACTTAATTTAGTCGTCAATAGCCATATGCGCTTGAAAATCACTGATTTTTCTTGAAAAACCTGAGAATGACGTCCATAAAGTACACAAATAATGACAATAGATTGACAAATATTCAGATGCATTTATAGCTATCATCAAAAAATTATGAAA